AACCAAAATCCGAACCAGAACCTTCGCCTGAACCAAAATCCGAACCAACTCCGGAACCGAAATCCGAACCCGAACCTTCTCCTGAACCGAGACCCAAACCAGAACCATCCTCTGAATTCATAAAACCCAAATACGCAGCAGAAACAGAGACGTTGCTAGTGAAGGGACTTACAGAAGACGCAGGTAACGCACACGCTTTTGCACCGATACGTTATTTGGGCGCATTCTTAAGTTAATAAGCCATAGTCCTACCTCTTCTGATCAAAAAACCGGTGGTTCCAGAACATGCCTTGATAATAATGGTCTACCATAAATTACTTGCTATAGATGAAAAACTTATTATAAAGCGCGTTCGGTGACGTTTATAATATAATTAAAAGACTTGGTTTTGTAAAATTATTTAGCAAAATCTTTAAGTATAATTGTTATTTGAAATTTGATAAACTGGAGTATGCGTCCATTTAAAATTGTACAGCAAGTTGTATATCACTATTTGGTGCATGGGATTTTTAAAAAACTAACTTAATATTTTTTCTTGTTCTGGTCGCAAGCTACAGTATGTAGCTCAAGTTACATTTGGGCCATCGTACTAAAAATTAATAAAATAAATATAAACAGCCATTGTTGTTGGATCTGTGACATTAGAGGTTTACGCTTTACATCATGTCTCTCAGCCCAGAGTACTCACCAAATTAGACCAAGCTAGAGACTACTTTTATATAATGAAAAAATATAAACGCCACATTTTCATGTGGCAACGTGAAAATGTGGCGTTTAACAGTAATGTTCTAAGTTTGGTAAGCTTTCTGGGCTGAAATTATACCAGAATAGTCACCTCTCACATAGGAAAGTAGATAGACTAGATGGTTACCTATCGGAAGTCCGAAATATCGTTTGCTCGAATTTTCATAACCTCGAAAGTAATTTTGAGAGGAAAATGTTTTTCTTTTAAACCTAACTCAACCGTACCGAACCTAATTGTGTCTTTGCGATAAACATCCAACATATCCTGAAAGAACAACGGTTTCGTTATAATTCAGTTTTCGGGATAATGAGAATTCGAACAAACGTTATTTCGGAAAAAATATATTCGAGGTTATGATAGGTTACCAGACAGGACTATACACATGGTTCATATTGTCACAGCCGTGAAGTCATCAGTCCGCATTAATCTCGTATGGCGTGACAGACTATATGACCTAATCCCTCTTAGAGGAGACTCATATCCAGTTGCGGGAGTTGACATGGGCTGATTATGACGATGTTGTGACGATTTTGTCACGCTACAATCGAGTTTCCTCACGAAAATTAAATTATGGGTGCCGAGGTCCACCATTGTTATAAATTAAGAGTTGGTACAACCTCAAATGGCTTTGGTTCATTCCGCATTACAGTGAAATTGTTGAATCAATCACTTTGGGAAAAATGTACACTGATTAGTGTACGTTGTGAAAACACGGTTCCTAAAAATAGTTACGGTAGAAAACAAAACAAACTTACGTCGAAATTTTACAAGAAAACCGCAGTATTCAATAGTACTTTATATATAGCAATGATTTTTATTTATGTCAACTTACACCGTATAGTACAACGTATAGTATCCGATATAAATTTTTGAAATGGCTTAAATTTCGTTTGTAAAACAATAAATTTTGAAACAAACCCAGTGTTTCTGTCGCTCGATACGCGCTATACGATTCAGTACGAAAAGAAATTTATTTCGAGCACAGGTAGTACCGACTCTAAATGCTTAGCATATTTATTTAGATATACGTAAACTAAAACAGTGTGTAGGTACTGTACAATCATAGAATAATAAAACAAGTAGGGCAACTCTGGCCTATTAGGAACATCAATGCCTACAAGTCGCTTAGAGCGTAGGGTTGTCACATTATTATTTTAGTTATACCTACAGGTTGTAAACATAATTTAAAAAAAAGGTATTTGTCACAGTATTCTCGTACTAACGCGCTGAATATCCTTTGTTAAATGCGGTACTTACGTATTGATACTTACCCGCGGATATTTACCGCGGATGGTATCTCGATTATGGAAATATGATTACGAAAAATTGAAAATGAAATGCTGAACAATTCTGAATTTGAGACAACATTATAAACACGTCTACTATTAGATGTCATTTTTTAAACATCGAGCTGACGCTTCATTTCTATAATGAAACGCGCGTGCGGTGACCCGCGACATGCACCGTGAGATTGTGCGAATGTGTGCGTCTGTACACGGCGCTCGAACGACGTGCACACATCCAAGCCGCTCTGTTACGTTTGTATGGAGTTAAAGTCAAATCATCTTTATTTCATAGGTAAGCAAATTACACTAGAAATCGTCATATTGATTAAACTCTACTACTCCTCTTTGTAATGGAGATTCCCCCGAGAAGAATGAGCGAGAAACTCTAGGGGATGTCTTTGTAAATATACATTTGAATACATATAACACTGAACACTTACTATACAACTTAACACAATATTTATTTCAAATACCTTAGGTCGAGAATACCTGCAAGAGCTAAACGAGTCATTACCATGGATTTTTTATCAAGTACGCAGAAGCTGCCTTTATAATAAAGTTTTTATTTCACTAGTTTTAAACCTCGAGAATGGCAAATTTTGAATATCACCCGTAAAATCCTTGAATGAATTTGTGACATTGTGAAAACGAGTGTCAAAAACAGCTATTTAGTTTATTTTTATACCTCGTATGAATCTCTGAACATAAAACACATTTTCTTAAATGTACTGTGACACTAGTGTAAAAATGTTAATCTCTTTAAACTTATCTCTCAAAGACACTCTAGGGCCCAGACTGTAAATTGCCCTAACCGCACTTTTCTGCAAGCCAAAGATTTTATTGATATCGGCGGCATTACCCTAAAGCAAAATACCGTATGTCATTAAACGTCTGAAAGTTTTAGAATTTTTTTAATCGCGTACACTGCAGAGCTGAGCCGTTGTAATAACTTACTTATATGTATGGTATTGTATAAGTTTGTTTAATGAGGTCATTGCAGTTTAGCAGCTAAACTTATATCTAGAATTACATCTGTATCTACAAGGTTTTAGTTACCCTACTTGTCTTATTGTACTATGGTGGAGTTGTGAAATGAGGACCGCTAAGTTAGATACTGAAAAGAAATTGATTATTCTCTCTGTAATAAAGTAGATAGAGTACTGTGTCATGCTTTGTATTTTTGTAGTTAGTGTCTCTGTCTTGTTACACTTTGCTTGGTAGCAGCTTTGTTTGCTTTTGCCTGACACTATTTTCAGGATCTCTTCTTTCCTTTTCCTCTTTCCATCCTAATCTATTTTCTTTCTTTCTAGCTGTCTTTGTAGGATTCTTCTTGTTTACTTTCTTTTAGTGATTGGTTGTCCTGTGGTGAAGTTGTTTGTTATTTAAAAACTGTTTTAATTTCTTCCTGCTTCGGTGTCGTAACTTATAAAGGGGAATATACATTTTTACGAGGTTCTTATATTCGGACAACAATTCAGAGATTGTTTTTGTTATTTTTACTTATACTTCGTGTCTTTATTTTAAAAATCTGTTCGGCGTTTTCAAAGTTACTTCAAAACAAACGGTTTTCTGTTAATGGAGCTGTCCTAAAATCGGTCCTAATGTACATGTTTTATAGTTCTAAATTATAAAAAATATTGGAAATATCAGTAGTAATAGTGCCATTAAACACTGTTTACCAACATGACGTAACATTGCAGAATCGTTCCCCGCCCACGACTACGTGCCGAAGTTCGATTTCAACCCAATGGACTGCACCGACATCGTCATCGGAACCGCCAGAGGGAATTACCATCGGGTGTTGGATTATTACACTAGAGACAGGTATGGATTTGGCGACTGAGTCGCTCCAAAAAGCGCTTAACGGTGTCCGAAACAATGTCCCATATTATTTAACAAGTTACGAAAATATGATAACGAATTGGTGGTCAAAGTAAAAACAGAATTGTATTTAGAATGAAATGGCAATAGCGGATTGTGACATCACACCCTAACGGCGGTGTACAGGTTATATAACAATAATATTTTTGTTAAAAAGCAACAGCACCATCTATACTACAAACATTAATTTATTTGAATTCAATTGAGACATCGTAGATAGAATTGTACATAAATTTTCAACATGTTCCTGTGGTTTAATTGATTTAGTAAACAAAATCAGTAAAAAAGTGTATTGAGGTCATTTTCAGGTTAGTATTCTCTACCTAATTTTGGTGGCAATTTTTGGTTTTTAAGTATTCTAGAATATTATCCTGCAGTATTAGTTAATATTCGAGTGTAGTATTGTTTAATATTTGATGATAATATAGTCGAATACTTGAATAATAAAAAATGCCACCTAAATTATGTAGAGAACACTATAATCTGAAAATGTTACTATGTTGTTATTGTTCAAATGAAAAACCAAAGCCATGAATCTCTGAATCCGTGTCATCATTAAGTTAAATAAATACACTTCAGCTTTGTATTAGTTAATAAATACATTTTTATATGTATATTATTAACTTTATGTGTCATATACAAAAAAAGAATAAGAAGAGGTAAATACTAAAGCAACTTCGTTGTATAGATCGACACCACGCGTGGACACGTTCTGGGGCGGACATGACGACATCACAGCTGCGTCAGGGTTTGAGGAGAACGGAGTCACTACTATTATGTTTAGGAAGAAGCTTAAGGTAAAGTATACCAGTATATTACAGGGCACACAAAATATTCATACAAAGTGTAACATTAGTGCATGTCATGATTCAATATTTTCCTGTTGGTGTAGATATATTTTCGATACATGAAAGGGCAACACGGCATCGTGTTATTTTTCCGGCGGTTTAAATTCCGACTCAAATGTAGGAAAGGGGCTAATCGGTTGTACGGGCCTGTTTTGAAACCACGTGTTTTAAGACTAGATTTTACTTGAGTGTGATTAGCAAATAATAATGTTGATTTTAAATTTTTATTGAATTGGTATTCAATTATTTTTTGTGAAATTACTCCACTAGTTTGTTATAATTATTAATACAAAGATCGAACACTCAGAAAAAATTTCTTCGTTCCTGCCGGATTCGAACCGATGTCTTCTAGCTTACCGTGCCAGACGCTATACCAACTAAGCCATGGATCGAAAGCTGCGGACCTCACGAATTTTTCTATGTGCTTGCGTCGTGTCTTTGTATTTGGTTTTTCAACGACTTTTTAGTCGTAGCGCCATCTTCAGTTAGTACCTTTACAGCTACCAGTCCTGGCGAGAGATGTCGCTATTCGCTGTATTTTAAATTTTTATTGAATTGATATTCAATTATTTTTTGTGAAATTACTCCACTAGTTGGTTATAATTATTAATACAAATAATTTTGTTGAGAAATAACGTTAGTTACGTTTCGGAAGTTACGTCTTCCTATAAACTAATTAAAGTTGTTTTTATTACATGCACAGGTTTCCATATTTTTAGGCCCACACTCCAAAAAATATTTGAAAACACCTATTTTTTATATTAACGTAACACAAAAAAAGTCGAGTTTATAATTCGGGTTTTTGTCAAATCCGGTAGCATCCCTTGGACAACATCAATGTCCCCCAATTGCTTTCGAGACCCCTAGCTCGCCCCTAGGAATATTCAGCGTCCACTGGGGGGTAGGGACCACTTTGGGAAATTATGCTTTGTTGTTTGACTATTGTACTTCTCTCCTTGAAGCTCGTTTTTATTTTTTTATTTTGCACTGCTACATGAAAACCACGCAACTATCGCCATTGCAATTGATATTAATTTCAATACATAATTCAGGCGAAAGAACCAACGGACCATTCGATAGTGGACGACTTGATGCACGTAATCTGGGCCCGAGGCCAGGAACCGAATCAGTACATCCACGCGCCCCCTTCCGGCCTGGAGAGCGGCAGCGCGTCCGTCCGCGACTTCTACCGGCAGGACGAGCTCAAGTACCACGGCCACGGCGGCCAGAGAGGCGTCGCTAGGATCAATTTCTTTGGTAAGCTAATCAGTTCTAATTGAAATTACGACATGTGTTCGAGTATTCAATGTATGCTATATTTTTTCTAATACAAAGTAAAATCACAAAAAATGGCGGGTTTTCGAAGTTACAATTGCAGTTTTTACAAAGATTGTTTATTAGAAGAAAATACGAAGAAAAAATTGTGACGGAGAAAGAAAGAACTACATAATATTTCTTATTTTAAATGAAATTACAAAAGACTTTATCTTGAAAATTCCACCATTACGAATTGTAAGTTTTTGTTCAAAGTGTCAATAATGTGATTTAAGTGAAAGTGAAAACATAAAATATTGACTCCTGCCGCTTAAAAGACTTTACCCAAATAAGTGAACTACGTTATTTAAAAGAAATTGAAAACATAATGTAGTTATTGTAACCACAATGCATAATATTTATTGAGGACCCGATGATTAAACGAAGACCGGGCTCAAAGAACTTGTGTCCAAGCCAAAACTCTTAATAAAAATAAAATCACAGTTTTTTTATTTATGACCTGGATACAAAGCCTTCAGTCGAAAACATTATAACTATTTGTAACAACAAATTAACAGTTCAATGCGCAAAAGTGTTGCCAGCTTACTAGGTGATACGCTACACTTGCGCTATACAATATTTATATTTTACAAATAACTCGAATAATATTAGGAAAGTTATATTAAATTTTATGTTACAGACGAAACCAAAACGTCTGCGGCGGGAGGTATAACGTCACTCGAAAACAAATGCGGTGCGCAATGGAAGTACCCGTCGAATTGTGATCTTAGCAACAACACTTGCCAGTACTACGCTTCGTGGGAGTACTTGGGCCAGAAGATGGGGAAGGATTCCATCAGGTTCACTATCAAGACAAAGGAGAGTAAATACTGGACTGGAATTGGGTTTAGCAAGGACAAGAAGATGGTGAGTTATTTCGGTTTTTGTTCTATCAGATCGAAGAAAAGAAAAATTAAATTATTAAAAAAACCGACCTCAAAAGTTCGTGGATTTACATCTATTTGTCAAGTTTTATTGGAATCGGTTACCGAAAAGTGCGCAAAACCGGATTCATTCTCTAGTTTGCCACCCTTACTGGTCCAACATTTTTTTTTCAAATTTAAATGGGAACAATACTTAGGTACACTCTTTCCAACGAAAAACGAATCATCAAAATCGGGTATAAGTGCCCGTGTGCACAATTAAATACAGTTCAATTGAGAACCTTCTTCTTTTTTGAAGTCAGTTAAAAAGAGCATACAATTCTCACTAAGACTTCGATAATGTCATAAAACATATCATCGTCGCTTTGTGAATCTGAAAGCGATATAATGTAAGGAACAAATTTTAGTAAACAATTGACATTGTGGAGCTGTGACCAATAGTAACGTAGTCGTCTAGCCCAACGACGCAAGGCGTTCGCCGTTGCCCTCGAACCGCCTCCCTTTGCAGTCCCAGACGGACGCCATCCTGGGCTGGGTGGACCCCCGCGCCAGCCGGCCCTTCATCATGGACACGTGGGTGTCGGGCTACGCGGCGCCCAAGATCGACGCGCAGCAGCACGTGGCCTCCGCCTCGGGCAGCCTCGTCGAGGGCCTCACCACCCTGAGCTTCGTCCGCCCGAGGAACACCAAGGACCCGAAGGTACGCAGGGCCAGCACGGCATGTTCAAGGCTCGATCAAGAAACGCATGGTTCTAGCCGGATGATGCCGGAGTACTATTAGAATATATCAATACTTCCGAAATAGTGTCATTGATCATGTCGCTTTAGTATTTGAAATATATTTGGTTAAGCAACATGTACGAAACCATATTTTCGCCGAAATCTTGTATAAAAGCTCTTATAATTTGTAAAATGAATAATAAAAAAAAACATTTATTGCAGGCAATTTAGTCCATTTTGTTAGGATACCCACTTACAAACTATCTATTTTTACCGTAGAGGGAGAATGAAAAAAAAAGAATAGAGAAGCTTCTCGCGTATACTGAAAAGGGATACCAACAGAGTACCTATAAATTCTGGGTTGTCTACTTTTAAAATTTTACCCCGTTAAAGAAATGGAAATGAAAATGAAGCTGTGGTAGCCTAATGGTTTGACCTACTGCCTCTCAAACAGAGGGTCGTGGGTTCGAATCCAGACTCGTACCTCTGAGTTTCTCGGAATTTGTGCGAAATTTATCATGAGCTTTTCGGTGAAGGAAAACATCGTGATGGAACGTTGAAGAAGGTTCAAAGTCTTCGGAAAACGTGTGCAGGACCTCGGACCCGCTTGAGAGGAGACCCGTGCCCAGCAGTGGGACGTATAAATGGATTCATGATAATGATGAAATCTGCCGAGTCTAAGGAGGGAGAATCCGCCGGACCACATTTAGCTTGGTTGAGTTTTAGTAACCAAATAAAACAATTATGACAAATCATTACTTTTTTATGGGCATTTGAACAGTATTAACTTAGTATACATATTTCGAACTGAAAAAGTATTGAAAAGTAAAAAAAATACAATATTTAAAATGACCCATAAATTGGGGAAAAGATAGTGGCAAAAGCACGGTATCCCCTAAAATCAGCTTAAGCCTGTCTAATTTAATTTATACGTTATTTATTTGATCTCTCATTCTCGCGTATCATAGCCACTGCTGGTAGAAGCGAGATGGACATATTTGACAATTGTAAGATATTCTCCTTATTTTAGGAGGTTTATACGATGCAAACAAAAATCTTTCAATCAAGAAAAACACTTCAAATATCATCTAAAATACATGAAATCGTAATATTCCAGGCTTGTAAGAGTATTTCACTAGTAATTCATACAAGAAAATTCATTGATTGTAATGAAAAATTAAAAGTTACGTGTGAAAGGTTATGTTGGGAATTTTTCGTTCCGTACGGCTTTTACAGCGTAAAATATAAAAATGCACCATTATTGTGAATAATTGGCAATTACTACAAAGGAACGGTTAGTAACTTTGTAAAACACTTCTTAAAAGCACAAACACATAAAATCGATGCACATCAAACACTCAGAAGGATTTGCTGGACTCAACGAGGGTTGAGTCACACAACCAAAACCGCATACGTAGAAAGGGACAAATAATAATATAGTTTTCTCGTTTACTCTGATATGTCTGTGCATAAATCTATCTCGCTTATACAGTTTTTATTACTTATAGAGCCCCTCTACCCAATTCTCCCTCTACGATTTTTGCTATTAAAAATTACAGACTAAAAATAATGAAAATAAACAGAATGAACCAAATGATATAATACATGATACCTAGTAACTTCACAAAAAAAACAAAAACTGCATCTAAAAAAATCCTAACATTTTCCCAGTCTACATTTCTTTACAAGTCGAAATGTCTCTTGGTGGAGATTTGTACCTGTTATTTATTTATTTACCAACAATAGAATATATTATTACAATCCTCGGATTGTGATAATACATTCTATACTAAATGTATCAAACAATACGGGTAAACACCACATGCAATTAGAAAATGGACAAAGCAATTAACAACATGAATTAACATCAAAATAAAAAAGTAACAACAATCACGCAGACACAAATAAAAATATGACAAAAAATATGACAAGAAAAAGGAGACGAAGAAAAACCTTGACTGAACCAACGGAAATGAATAAAAACGTGACCAAACTACTTATTACTATAGTTAAGTTAAGAATGTTGTCCCATCCCTTACAGGACTTGGCGTTCACGGACGAGCAATGCCTGTACATGATGTTCATAACGCAAGGCGGCGGCTTTGACGCCGTCAACAAGCGCACCAGCAAGCATTTGCAGACCCCTGTGGTAACCGAGGAGCGAATCTGCATTCGGCCCTGTGGCCCCGGTGAGTGGCCTTTCGAACATTTGATAGTACATTGTTATCAATGACGGTAAATCTAACGAGGGTCCATGAGGGCTTTATTAATTCGAGTTTTGTATTTTTTACTGCCTGTGATACACCAACCTATGTTTTTATCACATTTGCGAGGAAATAAATACAATATAAATATGGTTCACAACACAATAATTATGGATTATGCATGATGAGGGTTTTTTTTTAATTTTTAAATCTTGTAAAAACCAAAGACGCATACAGCCAAGATGGATTAGAAAAAATGATTTGTTAAATTTTTGTACAGAAACTAATTAAAATCAGTTATAACAATAGGAAATGAAACTATTTTTCCGGATTTAAATCGCGTATATTTGTTTTTTCAAACAAACCGACATTTCGGGCCCTTTACAGGTCCCATGGTCACGGTTGACAGTCAACCGTGACCATGGGACCTGTAACAATCGCGAAAACCTAAGAACTCAACAGTTATAACAAATTCTTAATAATAAGTATGTGGGTGAATTGCAATTAAATTTCTGTTTAGATAACATTTTTTAACGAATAACGCACACACTATAACGCACACACTCAACATAGCCCCGCACTAGGGAAACCCTGTGTCGCGGGTGCCATGGACACACACATACATAGACAACCACAGATTACACCCAAACTCACGAGAGAAATAAGTGTAGGTCATACAAATATTTCGCCCGGCCCGGGAATCGAACCTGGGACCTCTGCGTGGCAGTCCGGCATGGTAACCGTTCGGCCACTGAGGCAGTTATGTTTATTATTTAGTATGAATGTTTTAATTTTGAACTTAAGTAACTTCCATGTTTGAACTTGAGACCCATGTTAGAAAGTAAGTCGTGCTACACATAAAAAAAGTTCTTATTGACCATAAAAACTTGACCATTGGCTGTAATGGAAAGAAAAAAGGTCCAAGGTTTTATTTGGTACGTTATAGTCAAGTTAGCAATCATACCATTTACGAGCAAGTGTGACGAAAAAGTAAATTGAACGTGAAATAAAAACGTTTGTGGTGAGAGTGCCGATCGACCTGTCATTCTTCATGAAGAAGTGTGTCGTATACCGGCACTTCCGCGGTATTTTACCAGACGCCATACTGCGCCACACGTCCATGACAAGTGCAATTCGTGTAATTAATTTTTATATTACATTACATGTGTGTTAGTCTTTAAGGTATTTATTATACGGATCATAGTTGATAGATAGATAAATAAACACTTTATTTATATTATTATTTCTCCTCTGCAAAAGCGACTATGTATTTAATATTATTATTGATACTATATTTATCAGTATTCTATCTATATATATATATTTTATTAGTACTTTTTATGTAGTGTATTTTTTGAATTATTCTTTGGTGCACCCCTTTTACATATTCCTCATGTTTATCCTAAGGTTGCCTAGAAGAAATTGCTACGTAGCAATAAGGCCGCCTGTTGTGCATTAACTTACTATTTCTATCATAATTTATGTTGCTTTTCTATGATGTCGCTGTAACTTCATGTACAATAAAGAGTCTTTCGCTAATTCATTCACTTTATTCACTGATACAACACAAACACAGATTAAACAGAAAAGAAAAAACATAACATGATTATCATAGCAGTGAAAGGGCGCTGACTTAGCAATATGCAGCAGTTGCGTGGTTTAAATGAATAAATACTTAAAATAAAAAAGTTCAATTAAGCTGCTAGGTTGTAGCGCCATCTACTATTCATATGCAATTTCATACTTTAACCCCTACTATTAATATAAATACTTACTTAAATCAGTTTACTTTGACGAAAGCAGTGTTGTTAATTAAAATCAATTTCCTGTTTTTCCGTGATTATAGTTATAACCGTATTTGTACTACATTTATTGAGAAAAGTTTTAAATGTCTCTCGACGGGATTGCCTGATTCGTATAATATACGGCCCAGTTAATCCCTTACCTCCTGACTTCTGTTATAATGTATTATTCCATTTTAGACAGCACCGCTTCGATAATTCCGAGTAAAGCTAGCAACCAATTATGGTTTACGGTAATATTCGTGCCGTCTCCTGCTCAAACCCGCCAGCTAAAAGTCCTTTGCCTTCAGAGCCGGGGGAAGAGGAGCCGACGACGGAGGCCGTGCCCCCCAGCGTGCAGACGTACCGCGTGCTGATCCGCGTGACGGGGCTGGGCGAGGGCTACCGCCCCCCCGCCAAAGGCACCCCCGCCTTCGACGAGCTGGGCGCGCAGCTGCTGCCGCCGCTGCGCAGCCAGCTGCAGGCCGACAAAGGCTTCTACGACCTCAACTTGAACAGCTTCTTGCAGTACGTTCCTCCGCTCTCTGATCTTCCCCGCTCCCCTCTGATCTATTCTGCTACTACCCCGGATAGCGTCCGCTTAGCAACGAAATCCTGAACGAAATTGATATTAGCACCGATTGAAAAAGTCGCAACAGAAACGTTGTTGTTTCATTTTTCTGCCGAGAAAAACCACACACACCCTTTTCTTTTTGTCTGCTCGTTGTTTATCTTTCCCGTTCCTCGTCGAACGCACTCGTCCGTCTCCCCTTCTTCACCGCATACGTATTATTTTTTGCAGGAACGAAACCAAAGCGATGATCGCAGACCTGACCCTGAGGTCGCTCGAGTCGAACTCCATCGAGGGCTCGAGCGCGCGCTCGCTGGACGCGGGCCCCGGCGCCGGGGGGGTCCAGGGGGGCGGGGGGGCCGCGGGCAGGTGGCGGAGGGTCGTGAGGGACACGCTCGCCGCGGGGAGGGTCGGCAACCTGGCGGTCGACCCGGAGTTCTTGGTGCTGGAGCCGCAGAGCCGTAAGTAGCTAAATTGACTGGTAGTGCTACGCACCGTACTATATACATCCTATTGATATCCTCTAAAGGAAGCATTCCGATGTTAACGACCTCGGCGTCCAGCGACAGTGAATAGCAGCAGCATTCCTGGGCACCTATCGCCTGGTGACCTGTAGCTTATGGATCCAAGCGGAGGCAACGAACTGCCAGTCTTTCCGCAGTTTTTAATACAATCGATTATGTTCCGATACCTATAATTATGTCGAGCCATTTATCCACGGCCAGAAAAAGAGTCATACAGCAGTTATTGAAGGAAGAAGAAAACGATGTTACACTAATTTTGCCAATTTCTGCCCGGGTTTTTTCTCTTACTATGTTATCGCTATATATTTCTCGAATCATATAGGCGTGGGTTTTTAGACTCTAAATCTGTTAATACTTCGTCGTCAACAGACCGAAAATATAATCATTTTGACGTAAAACGTGGTCGGGTCAACCGCGGTCACTTACTAGCCACCCCACAAGTTGTGCAGCGCGGCCGCTTACGTTGATCAGCGCTCGATACAAACTCATACTAAACGGTGGGGTCAAATCGCGATTACTAACATCGAAATGTTACCTTAAGAAGAAAATTATGTTAAAACACAGATAACAATAACCTTAGTTGCACATAATTAAAAAATTTGAAGAACAAGTACTGTGGATCGTAAAAAGAGTCGAAGATGCAACTACTTCTTACAAGTCTAGTGTAACCACTATTTCAAATTTAATTTTTATTCAATCCATCTTATTTCAGTGTTGTCGACCGTGTCATCGACCGTGTCATCGACCGTGTCATCGACTCGTCCGAACACGGAAGAGTCCGACAACGCTCGCACCTTCTTCGGCCTGGCCGAAACGAAGCTGTACGTCGTCGTGGGGTGCGTCGCTGCGTTGATATTAGTGGCGTTGTTGCAGGCAGTCTGCACTTTGTATCGGAGTAGAAGCAACGGGAGAAACAAGGTGAGATGTAGTAGAAGAATTGTGAGGTACTTGAGAGAAACGGAGAGATCCAAGTTATAAATAAAATGTCATTTACCCAGCATCTTTACAAGGATCATTCTGTTCCTCCATCACGCATATCAAACAGCGCCGAGAGTTATAATTGAATGCGTTATTGTGTTTGGAATAGTCTTGAAAAATACAAATGATATTATTAGTAATATACATGTACAATAATTATGTTTATTTTTTTTAATATATAATATTGAAGTGTAGGCAACTGGGCTATTCTTCAATAGGGCATACACGTAGGTGGCACCTGGAAATGAAGGAAATCAAAAAACAGGACCAGGGGGTGGATTTTCGTATGCTTTGACATTTTCTTGATTTTGAAATTGCATATTACGTTTACAGAAAATGTAACTAAAGATGTAGTTCTAAAAATGTGTTTCGATATCAATGAAGCAAATGCCCATCAACGGTAGAAGTGTGCACTGCACCCCGTCCCTGGCAGTGCGCCTGCAGTCCTCCCGCCCACAGGAGCAGCTGCTCCCGGCGGGCGCCTGGAAGGAGTACTCCAGCCACAGCAACTACGCCTTCGAGCCCTTCGCGGCCGACGACAAGAGCCACGGCACGGCGTCCACGGCGCCGCTGCGCGACCGGCCGCCCGCCCGGCCCAGCAACCCGCCGCCGCCGCGCCCCGCCAGCGCGCCCCACCAGGTCTCGAGAGCCCTCCTTCGCGCTCTTTCGCACTCCTTCGCCCTCTTTCGCACTCCTTCGCCCTCTTTCGCACTCCTTCGCCCTCTTTCGCACTCCTTCGCCCTCTTTCGCA